GGGCCTTATCCGTGGTCAGCAGTGTGTCGATACAGGATCACCTATTAGCATTCCTGTCGGACCAGAAACACTCGGCCGCATTATGAATGTTATCGGTGAAGCTATTGATGAGCGTGGGCCAATCAACGCAAAAATGACTTTACCGATTCATCAGGAAGCCCCGGCATTTGTCGACATGAGTACTGATCAAGAAATTCTCGAGACTGGCATTAAGGTTGTGGACTTACTCGCTCCTTATGCTAGAGGTGGGAAGATTGGTAAGCAAATATACTGATTATCACACTTGCCTAGGGCTTTTCGGTGGCGCGGGTGTTGGCAAAACTGTGATCATCATGGAGCTTATTAATAACATTGCTCGTGCTCACGGTGGGTATTCCGTTTTTGCGGGCGTGGGTGAACGAACTCGTGAGGGAAACGATCTGTACAATGAAATGATTACTACTGGTGTCATTGATCTCAAGGGCAAAAACTCTAAGGTTTGTTGTTTTCGTACCCAGTTAATGTCATAGGTTTCCCTCGTTTATGGTCAAATGAATGAGCCCCCGGGTGCCCGAGCTCGTGTTGCTCTTTCTGGACTTACAGTGGCAGAATATTTCCGTGATCATGAAGGACAAGACGTGCTGCTTTTCATTGACAACATCTTCCGCTTCACACAAGCTGGATCTGAAGTCTCTGCTTTGCTCGGCCGAATTCCTAGTGCCGTTGGTTATCAGCCAACACTGGCAACTGACATGGGTACTATGCAGGAACGAATCACGACTACCAAGAAGGGTTCAATTACTTCCGTCCAGGCCATCTATGTGCCTGCTGATGATCTGACTGATCCTGCTCCGGCCACCACGTTCGCTCATTTGGACGCAACCACCGTCTTGAGTCGAGGCATTGCCGGCCTGGGAATATATCCAGCCGTCGATCCCCTCGATTCGACTAGCCGCATTTTAGACGCTAACATTGTCGGCCAAGAACACTATAGCGTTGCACGTGGCGTGCAAAAGATACTTCAAGTATTTATTCTTGTTTTTTTTTTCACCCTTTGCGTTCTGTTAGGACCAACGTTCACTTCAAGACATCATTGCCATTCTTGGTATGGATGAGTTGTCCGAAGAAGACAAGCTGACCGTCGCTCGTGCTCGAAAGATTCAGCGATTCCTTAGTCAACCTTTCCAGGTTGCCGAGGTTTTCACTGGCTTGGAGGGCAAGTTGGTACCTCTCCAGGAGACTATTAAGGGCTTCAAGATGATTTTGAGCGGTACATTCAGATTTTCGCCTAATGAATTCTTTAGGTGAAATGGACCAGTACCCTGAGGCCGCCTTCTACATGGTCGGTGGAATTGAAGACGTCATTGCAAAGGCAGAAAAGTTGGCCGCCGAAAACTAGCCGTTGGAACATGCCTAGCTGACACGTGATACCCTGGACTTAGTTACATTTGTAAATTTCTTATCTGAATCTGCAGACAAAAATAGTCTTATCCTGTTGACTTGGTTCTTCTTTCAAACATGTGTGTCTCTTGTAAAACCGGTAATTTAATAGCAATGGCCACCCGTCTGATTTAAGCTATGACGCCTCGGTCTCGTAGTTGTAATTAGGGATAGAGTTTGTGTCCTATTTCAAACCACACAGTACGGGTTTCATCTCCAGACTAGCTTGTGCTCATTCATCTTTTTGGACCTATTCGGCCGTTTTTTGGATCGCTTCAATACTGAAAACACAGACAGTTTAATTAGCCTAGGTGGTAGCGGATACCGGAACGAACTTCGTCTAAGAAACACATGCCCTCGTAACTAGTAGTAATTTGCAGGTCGACGACAAAACGATAACCAGAGCGCGAGTGACTGTGGTCTAGTGCGCTGGCTGCCTTAAAAAGTGCCACCAAGCTAGGCAACGGTACTCTGCCATGTGATTGTTGATCACTTTTGAAGCAAAGCGTTTGAGAAAACAATTCCAAACAAACAATCGGAAAAGCTCGTGGTACTCCGCCTTTACACTTGTTCTGCGGGCGAATTATATGCAAGCTGGGTTACTTAGCCAGGAATGGACCCGTAGTGTTGGTCGCTGAAGTTTGCGAGTGTTCCCTGAGCCAGTGTTGGAGGGCCTGGTCGTCAGTATGTGCAATTTACTGCCCGTCTGAATCCCGATATAGGGTCGTGGGGGGTCAAGATTCTGATAGTCAATTCCTATCATATCCCATAACGCGGTAATCTATGTGACGCTCCTTGTAGGTGCAGTGTGGTGGTCGGTCTTGCAGCAGTCCGATCATTACACACCAGGGGTCTACCGTGCGCTCCACAACAAGATGGTAAAGGCACGGAAGATTGCGCATGAACTAGATTGCA